CTAACTGCACCTCACCTATTTGACAACACGCTAATCCGAGCCGACACTTTATAAACACATTAGAGCAGAGGAGGGCTACATTTCGTGAAAATGATGTCACTAAGTAGTTTCACACTTTGTTGGAAATAATTATTAACATTGAAATTAACCGTATCCGATATTCATTATTTATTTTTAGACTGTTATCGAGATCACGTGGTAGAAAACATTTTTTTAAAACAATCAGAACTGTGCATGTACCCTGAGCATTGTGACTTTGAGAAATTTGACGCTATGTATAAATATTATTACTTTTGTCGTTGTAAATATTGATAACTTAATAAACATCCATGGTGTTCAGAAAAGAAACGAATCACTCAGTTTGAAGCCAAATCTATTATACAAGAACATTTCAGAGGGATAAATACTCGAATTATACGAAAATTAAAACTAGTTCGTCGGTAATATATTGTCTTCTCACCTCCACCTCCTCCTTGCTGACCACCATGAGAAAATGCTATGTTAAGAAGATTAGCGCCGACGACCTAATAAAAGAAATATTATCTAATAAATGAGATGGAATTACTTTGAGGTAGAGCGGTTTTCAATTGCGTGTCGATTGTAGTCGAGCAATTACTTTGGTTTTGATTAGATTTGGTTTTACTGTGGTTTAAGATTGGCTGAGTAGTCTAATTGGAAAACAGTTGGTTTGGTTTTGGTTTTACGGCACTCAATCTTTCGTAGGAAAAAGGATGACGAACTGGTACATTTATACCCATATATTCTTAGCGCACGAAAACTAAATCAATGCTCATAAAAGACGTACAGAAAAGTTATAATATCTTTGAACCTAGCATACACAATGCCGTAAGCACACGGATAAATATTGCAAACATATGGTTATCCTTGTATTTTATGAACTGTGTAAAGTTCGCATGACATAGACCTCTTTCGACTGGGCGGTTTGTTGCCCCATTTCAGACCAGTGATGATACTCTTGAGAATTCTTCCTTTCAAATTTTCAAACAGTCGCGCGCATATGAGTAATCAATTTTTAGACGGATAAAAGAACAATACTCTATTAAATATCATGTAGTCCGCAATGGCAAAACAAACCACCCAAGCGAAGAAGGTCTGTTGTGGTAAAATGTACAACCGCAGCCATCTTTGATGGAAAACCGCTCTATCTACACTGTTTTGGTTGAATTCTATAACGCTCGTATTGAAAAGATCACTTCGCATCTTCTTTTGTTTTTTTCACTTCAGCTCCCCCACCCTAGCACCCAAAACCCCCTTCCCCTCCGCGCGCGCCAATCCCACTCCTGTGCAGTGAATTTTTTATTATGCGAGGAGTTTAAGTTGAAATTCATCGTTAAATTATCTTTTTAGTTTATAAACGCAGCTTCTGATAGGCGTTGATAAAAGCTTTTCTTTCTGTTGTTAGGTAATTCCTATTTATTATTGGTAAGTTTTTTTATCTTTAGACAAATTAATTAATAAGCGTAATGTTAATTGACATGATGCTTACTATGAGCAACAATAGCTTGACTTTAGTCATCGTTTTCCTAAATAACAAAGAAAGTGTGAATCAGTGATGAATTAAATCGACTGAGATCGACTGGTCACTGGGTTCGATCACCAGCCACTGTTCGGGAAAGGAGCCCGCGCTCGTCCACTTCCCGAAGACCCAAGAGTTTCACGATATCCTGTTATTAATGCAGCACTTGTCAAGGACAAGTGTTTTAAATCCATGATTTGGAGAGAAGAAAGGAGATCCCAGAGGAAAACGGCGAAACATCCAGAACCTGATCTCATCTTAAATTTAAAACGACGATTAAGCTAACCACCGTGCAATGGATCGAACTCATAGCACATGCTTCTCGATCGCTAAAATTCGAATAATTCGTGTTTTAATTTGATATTGGAAACTTAGCATTGGGAATTGACGAAGTATAGGCGACACCAGAACTGGCGAGAATCCAGCCATACAAAATCTTAATGGCTTAGAGTACATAGAGAGAGAACTGTTTGAAACGGGACAGGAATCGCGTCAAGAAAAGAGGATGCGTTTTCAGCTACTAGAAATAAATTTGAAACTTTTCCTTGGTTCAGTAGTTTCATTCAGTTTCGCTGGAGAATTTTAAGTTTCCAAAGTCAAGGTATTATTTAGTCTTCTTAGAAACTGAAAAACACTACTTTAATGAAACCACAGTGGATGAAATAGTTGATTTGATGTCAATGGACAATAAAAAAACATGCAATTTTCAATGTCTCTATATATACCGCAAGTAAAGTACGCATAAAGTCATTTCCAATAGCTGATTAATTTCTCACGCAGAATCCCTTACTTATTCAATGCACATGGCTAAAAGCCAGAATTTGAAAATTAACATAATTTTTCTGGTTGTTTTTTTTGGTTTAGATACGTGCGTCAAACAAGGCAAATCATTGATCAGTTTTAAATATTCATTGCAAAACACATAATGCAGCTTATCTGGTCTATTGATAGTTTTCAACAGATGAATTGCCGAATAGTAACGTTCTCAAAGATAGCGTTTTTGTGTTTCTATCACTTTAAGAAATTTCTTCAAACCGTTATAAATATAATTTTCCGTCAAAATAAGACAAGAATATAAACTTTAGTCCCAAGAAACTTGCAGCTGGCTGATGTCTTGCACTGTGTTTTCGCCGCTACTCTTTATTTTAATTCTTGTATTTAAACACTCTACTATCCAATAAGTATAGAAAGTTCGTCTTTATGAGAACAATATCTTAAGGGAATAAATACTACACGGCAAAATGTTAACAAAATTAAAAATTGCGTTCATAGTTAAAATGCTGTCCGTTATGTTGAATTTGAAAGGTTTCTTTAAAGTAAGAATGTGATTGGTTGATTCGTGTGCACCAGGTGTACATGCACAGGTAAATATTCAATTTTAAAACCCTGTTGGAAAATGTTCCAACAGAGCCGTTCAGCTGAACGTCAAATGATTCGTCCTTGTGTCAAATATCATCAGCTGGTGATCTGGCGAGAATACAAACAGATTATTTCTGAACAATGTTTCGACTCATAAATATCTACAACACCAGAAATTCAAAAAGTCCAAGTACGCCAGAGAAATGAGACGCGTTTTACTGATTAGAAAATTTCTTCTTTCTTTACACTCGCGTTAAAGAACTTCGGGTGAAACTTTGTCTTCAACGCAGATTATTCTCTAAAAAATAGGCCTCTGCAGTTTTTGTCAACTATCAATTATTAATAAAAAGAAGTAAACTTTGGAGTAAGATCAACAGCTGTTCAATCCGATGCTGTGTTGTATAGCGGATGAGCTATGAAGCCAATTGATAGCAAGAATAGTCATTTACTGAATGTTGTCATGCAATCAGTGATACACGAATACAGAAGCTATTCAGCGGAAAGTGTATAATAAAACAATAGAGTTATAATTGTTTTGGGCCCGACTCAGACTCATCATTAGCCAAGTCGCTTTGGCAAGGGTTCAAATGAGCTCTGATAATTATGTCCCAAACGTAGTTATGCCCAAGAACATAAACTTAACTACTATTATTAACACTTCGGAGGGCATTGAGAAAATAAAAACTGAAAAAGAAATGACAACAAAACAGTCTGAATAATCACGCGAGCGTTTATAAGTTGAATGAAAATATACAATACATCAAACAAAGCTGGCTAGAAATTAAAAAATCTTGCCATATGAGTTTTCAAAAATTGAAAAAGACATGAAAAGAAAGTTCGTTAAAGCTTATTTGTAAGTGTTTGAATCAGTCGGCAAGCTAAAATACCCTTTGGCCCGCCAATTTGCAAGTCACAATGCACGACCAAATGGTAACAGCAAGGCTGGATACTCTTATAAAACAAGTTTTCATCTGTTTTGTTTTATTTTTTTTGCTGGAGCCTTTTAGATCTTTCAAACATTCTCAAAGGCGAGAAAAAAAAAATCACATAAAAACTGCCGAGTAAAATATAAATATATAGAAAGTGTATAAATACATGTATGGCTTGTTTTTAAAATAAGCTACCGTTCAAAATGTGAACTCCGCATTTTGTCCAACAACAGCAGCAGAGTGGCGCAGTGGAAGCGTGCTGGGCCCATAACCCAGAGGTCGGAGGATCAGAACCTCGCTCTGCCAATTATTATTTTATTTTATTTATTTTTTTGTTTTGCTTTGTTTTTTTGTTTTGTTTTTTTTCGTTTTTCTTTTTGTTATTAAGTAGAAGTATGCGGTTTGTGCGGTCAAGTTAAGAGGCTCAGACAGAAAACACTTTAAAGGGATGGCTCTACAGCTGAACGCATGTGCAAGCTGTAATGTCAGCCCATTTGATTCCATTGTTTATGAAACAATCTAAAGAGAACTGATGACTCTACTGTGAAAGTCTCCTTTGAACATGTCGCGCCATACAGGGAACACGTCAAGCTGAGAATGAGAAAAGAAAGGATTTAATTACTTCTTGATGATGTAATTGGCGCTTAGGTTAAGTCTGCTAACATATACTTGAAGCACAGGGCACTAAGAAAACATAGATGGCATTGAGATTGAGATATGAATAAACTGTCTTCTTTATAAAGGCGTACTCTAAGCTTCGGCGCATCTTGTGACAGTTACGGCATTTTAATGCGTAGTTATGACGTAAACGAGAGCAAGAATGTAATGTAAAGTGTTGAATCATGCATTTGACTCTGCTGAATAGTGGTTTGGCCTTCTGCGGGCCGGGATCTCTGTGCTGATAACCACGAAATAAACGAGGTAATGCGAGAACCGGAGATAAACGATAGACGGGGACACACCGAGATGAGAGAAAGATGCGTAGTGGTTCAGTAATGGAGCGAAAATTATAGTCTCATTGTCGACCCCAGACCTCTTCTCTTTTGCGCATGACGGACGGCGAGAAAAGGAAGCA